GCGGTTCAGTAGTTAACACAAAAATAATCTTTAAGAAAAGCTCAAACCTCTTTTTGCTCCAAACGCTTGTTTAACTCATTCAACTCCTTATCCAAAGTATTCTGCAAAAGTTCATGTTCCCGCTCTTTAGTTGCCACGTTAATTTCCCCGTGATTTTCACCTGTAGAGTTTTGCAATAATGCTGAAGATGTAAAGAACCATACTAGTAAACCACAAGACTAGTTATATGATAAAGTTAGCCCAAGGATATTTAGAAAGTAGGATGTGCACTAAAGATTCTTCAACCCTGACTCAACGTTACCCCTCTAAAGCAGTCCAAATAAATGTTTTACCTGGTATGGTATCACCCATCTCATAATCAGATGAATCCATACTTTGAAAACCCCTCTTCAGTCCATCATTCTTTGGAAGATAAACACGGCCATCCTGAGAAATACAAAACCAGAAATGTCAATAGTTACAATTTTAAGTCACCGGAGGAAGAAAATGAAAAAGTTGTTCAAATATCACAGAAATTGGTCTCCTGCCCATACTTGAGCATCTGCTTCACACTGCACAGCACGTCTACTACGATATTCGTGAAGTTCTCTAGAAAGGCCTTCGTTTGTGGCTTCAAGCCAAATAATTCTTTCCTTAAGAACCTAGAAAAGCAGAATTAAACAAAATTAAAATTCATTGAAGCTAATACAGAAACAAGTAAACCCAAAAGTAAGAGACAGTCACATCAAGAAAAAGTAAGAGACGGTCTTTAAGCACATACCCGCACTTCCTCTGATGGAGTTGCTCCCCCACGAGCACTCAGCTCAGCCTGCAAGAACTCTAACTGCTGTCGCATCTTTTGCATTTCATTGGATATCAAGTCTCTATTAACCTATACAAAGAAGTAAAATATTTCTTCATTACACGTTGATATATCCAAGAAATTTGGAAAGAAATCAAGTGCCTTTCTTCATCAACTGCCTAGCACAATATGAGGTGGATATTTTAGAACTAATAACAACAGAGCCAGCTGATAAACTTACAACAGGCTTGTTCTGGATATTGCGAGCACGATTCGCATATTTGAGAGTGTTGAGAGTTTCCTCAGCATTGATGTCAGCAGGACTGATGCAGGCTGGAAAAATAGCAAAACTTTACATCTTATAAGAGACAAAAGGACTCTGCAAGAACAGAAGAAGAAATTCGGACCAGGATATCTTGGAAGAAATCATTAAATTGTTGCTGAGGATATAAATTCCACAGTATTACATGAAGAACGTGACATGAGATCAGAGTGAAGAATGTAAAGTGGCCAAGAACAATGCCAGAAAAAGATTGGCATTGTATTAAATCAAGACTGACAAGGAAACCATTGACGCCAGCTGTCTTGCTGGAAACAAGAAACTACTTTAAAATGTTGTACGAGTAACGACAGGGATATGCTTAAACCAAATTTGTTAATGTCATTGGAGCAAACATTTAACAACTAAACGATCATTTTTCAAATTACCTATCATGACAGTCTTACTGTTTCCACCAAGAGAATCCTGTCACAATTCACGAATAATCTAGCTCAGGACAAGTAGAAGAGAGATATAAAGTAAAAAAAAAAGAACATTAAATGGTCCCTTAACAATATATTAGTTAAGAAAATTTAGTTATACAGGGCACTAATTGAGAAGAATATGGAATTAAAAAGAATTTACCAAGAAATAAATTTAATAAAAGAAACTTGAAATCATTTCATTTCACTTATGTATATATTACTTAAAGTACGAGTTAGCAAAAACATATTGTAATCTGAATTAGCTCATAGGTTGATGAAGCTCTTGTTTTGTGCCATTTGTAAAAATCAGATTGCATGTCAACATAAATAAATAAATTAATTAATTAATATCACATACGAATTTATGTCTCAGGCATGAAACTTGAAACTTATAATCTTAAACTTACCTGCAAGAGTCGGGTGAGTTTACTATCTCGATAAGGAACATGGACACCCTCTTTCCGCTTCTTCTCATCCCCTAATGCACTAATGACATTGCCAAGTGCTAGAAGTCCCTTGTTAATGTGTATACCTGAGTATAAAATTGAAAGTTACAAATTTCACTGTTTTTAATAAATGGTGCACTAGGTTATATTGCATAAGCAGATTTACTGACCTTCTTTCAGACGAACACCATCAGAACCAGTTCTTTTAGCCCGTTCAGATCCTGCCAGATCCACCAAATGGAGCTTTGCGCAAAAATATTCTTCACCCATATCCTCATCTGGAGTGTCATTCCCAGGAAAAACTGAATGGATTTTTCTCATCTGTTCTAATGTGATTGTGAAGATGGCATGTGACCGACTAGTACAAACATGCAAATACGAACCATATAGTATTAGGTTATGAAAAGTAATTATTTAAGTTGCAGCCATGATAACCATTTCCGAGCATCCAGATTTATCAATTCACTAGTCATTCTTTGGAACAAAATATTCAGAGATATTGGTAAAAACTGCTAAACTTTGGAACGGAAAAACTACATGGGATGTGCAAATGATACCACAAACAGAGAATGTTAGCATTACTGATGAATGAAGTCTACTAAAATGATAACTCAACCAGCAATCTAACCAGTAGCCACAAGTGATTTTCGTATAAAGTACCAGCATGGGGCTTTACCTGGACTGGTTGTTCATGTTAGTACTTCCAGTTGCCCTGCTTAATGATCCTTGCTCCAAGCAAGTAGACATTTCTTGTAATGTTCTTACAAAAATTTCAGTTGATCCTGCTAGTGTTATGGCTCCATTCGATGTTTCACGAATTTGTATGGGCTGTCTTCCAGACACAGTAACTCTCCCAGCATGCCCATTGCCATTCTCCACTTTATTCAGAGATACGGAATCCAACAAGTCTCTCACTTCTTCCTTGAGAATCTTCAAAATGAAAACCTCTAATTAACTTCTTTGTAAGGATACATGAGATGGTAGAGAAAGTGAGCTAGAAAAAATAACATGTGACTTAGTCATTGTACTAGACTCGCCAGTTCGATCACTATTTCTCTGTTGAGATATTAGCCATCTTATAGCTTCGCAGAAATATTGAGGCCTACTCTACATATATACATAAATATGTGTGTGTGTGTATAATATTCTGGGCACGTATTATATTGAACAAGAATGCTGATACCCAGTTCATCTCCTTCAACCTACTGCTTAAGTTTTAGAAGCATAAAACTCTTTATCTAACTGAACAAATTGTTTAAAAACGTGGCTAGGGCATATCTATATATATTGAGATGTAGGAAATTGGGCATATAATGAATGTACCTCAATAAAGGAAACGTGCAACTGAAATTCTGTTTGATTCTTTAATGTTTCAATCTTGCTGAAGAGCGCATTCATAACTTGAGGAATCAACCCTGTCTGGCTACCATCTTTTGAGCCAGTCCCCATGGTGTACGTTTTCCCCGACCCCGTCTGCATCACATGTACACATTAAACAACGAAAGAATCGAGGACTGTATGAAAAATAAATCATGGATATTGTTCTTTTTCAAAGCGAATTTCCCACACTTAAGAGATTACCTGACCATAAGCAAGAACAGTGCCATTGTATCCTTGGAACAAACCCTCCACAAGTGGGGCAATGCATTCTTCGAACATGGCAGTCGACGGAGCTCCACCGCTTCCATACACATGATCAAATGTAAAAGAATGTGTGCCAATTTGTACCTACACCATGGTTAAGCAGCTGGTCAAAAATGGGAAATACAAAGCTTGCCTTCGTAAAATACACCTAAGAAAAATGAACAGAAATGTGTTCACGTACAATTAATTTTGTACTCCAACCAACTTCACTTAACTATAAACGTCTCTTGGCACATAATCAATCTACTCACAATTCAACTTTTACTAACACTCATTGAAATTTGAAGCACGTAATGTGAGAAATTTAATTGTGCTTCAACAGGGTTTTTTTTTTTTTCCCCCGCACATAACTGAACTGAAATGGGTTATATAATGCTTTAATAAGCTCATTCTAGTACGAAATAAAACTGCCGAACATGCAATAATGATTCTAATACAAAAAAAAAAAAATGCAAATCCTACTGAACTCCAAGGGAAACAAGCAAGAAACTCATACAATTACAACAAGCTAAAAAAGCCAAGTTTTTTAATCCAAAAAAGAAGAAAAAAAAAAGAAATGAAGTGTAAGAGTACCTGAGGCTTTCCAGGAGTGACAGAAACACATTCCTTACAACCTTGGAGGCGTTCATCGCCGATGAGTGGGCGGACATGAACAGCGACCTTAACAGAACAATTCTCCGACGTTTCCATTTCCAATCCAAAAACAGATAACCCAGAAGAGAAAAAAGAAACGGGGTTTCAGGAAAAACGCTAATTCTACCCCAAAAAAAGAAAGAAAGAAAGAAAAAACCTTATCTCATTGTCTTCTGAATCAACACAGAATTTAACAGACAGAGAGAGAAGAGAGAGAAAGGGTGTTAGTAGTGGCGGTAGGAGAGATTTGAAAGAGAAGAGAGAGAGAGAGAGTTCTAGTGAGAGAAAACACAAGAAGTAGAACTAGTAGAAATAGGCAACATTTTGTTGTTGTTGTTGTTGTTGTTTGTTATTATTGCTTTCCTTCTTCTCAACAGCTCACAGACACTACTGACTACTCCTCCTATTGAGCGTATTTGACCGACTGACCCGAAAGCCAATGCGGTGGCGATGTTGGTGAGAAGCCTTCTCTTTCAATCTTCCAATATTGCCCCTCTCTTTGTCTTTGGGGTCCAACCTCCATTACCTTTTGTTGGGAGCTTCTTTGTTTTTTTTTTTTTTTTTAGAGAAAAAAAAAAAGAAAGATCCTTTCTGTTTTTTCTCTGCTCTTTGTGCCATGCTTGAGTGTCTATACCGTACATTTGTTGTTACCGTATTTCCAACTGTCATCGTACTTTTTTTTTTTGGGTATTGTTTGTTTGAGAATATAAAAAACAAAGAAAGAAAAAAACACTTTTTCGTTTGGTTGGAGGATTCATTCTCTGATTTGAATCATAGTTCATGATTTATTATAATATTTTCTCTTATAAAAAATACACGTAAATAAAAAATAATTTTAATCTCATGGTTCTAATCCATAAACCAAACGGGCGGTAAGAAGTTATCTCTCTTTTGCTAGTAGACAGGAGGAAAAACAAAAATGATGAGTTGCTCCCTATCAGCCTATCTTAAAAAAGTTGATGAGAAAAATGAGAAATATTTAGTAGTGTATGAAAAAATATATTATCTGTAGGGTTCTGAAGTTAAATTGTTGTATAAATATATATCAAATTTGATTATCTTATATGTATTTTTTATTTTGATTATTTAACATTTGAAAACATGCATTTTTTTATAAGAAAGAGACTGTAGAAAGTTTGGAGTAAAAATTTACCTAGGGTGTGTGCCCAGTTTGGTTCTGTCTCAAAATTGTGTGTGTTTTATCAAATCGAGTCAAGCCATTTATTTATTTATTTTTATTCATTTTTTTTAAATCAAAATTGAATCGACACCTTAGTTTGAGAAAGACGTCTCGTTCATTTAACCGATTCGAGTTTTTAATTTCAATTTTGCTACAGTTAAAAACTCTCATAAAAGTCGCATCTAACCTTTTTTTTTGCTACAGTTAAAAGTTCTCACATAAAGTCACATCTTAACTTGAATCGGCGAACTGAATGAGAATACATGCTCAAGTTAGGGTTTGAGTCTCCACCGTTGTAGACTCTGCTACCCTTTTTTTTATATTGTCTATTTTGATGTTGATATGGCACCTAACTGAACGTTCAGTTTACATTGATTCAGCTCGGTTGCACTGGTTTTAATTTTCTCTTGATCTCATATGTTCTCTTATGTAATTGAAATTACAATTACAATGATATATCAAAGGAATACTCCTGAAAGTACGAGTCATCTAATCATCAATACCTATTAGTTCTAAATGATTTTGTTTAGTTACATTCTAGTTTTGTTTCTTTTTTTAGGGTGAAGTAGTTGCATTCAATATGATACAATCTCAGTAAAAAAAAAAAATGCACTCTTTTGGGTAAACCAAAAGGTATGTTAGTGTTTTGGGTTTCTCAATATTATTTCGTTGTTTAGAAGAATCAAATATCAAGTTTTTTTTTTAAGTACAAACAAAAATAGGTTGTTCTTTTGGAGTATAACTTGAGTGTAGTTTTTGAGTTGAATTTGAGTTATAACTTGAGTTGAAGTTGTAACTTGAATAAAGTTGAGTAAAATTAAATAAAGTTAAAACTTAAAAGAACATGAACTTGAATAAAGTTAGAACTCGAGTTGTCTTTTTTTGAGTTTTTTAGACAAAAGAACATTTGTCGTTAAAATGAAAGAAACACCTACAGTATGAAATGGTAATTCCCTAAGTTGGTCTTGGAACTAGGGTGTTCTTTCATTTTATATAACGTGGTAAGTACATATAAAAAGGGCATCTTGGACTCCGAAAATAAATATTAAAAACAAAGGAAAGCGTGACATATAGAATGATAGTTCCTAGCAAAAGCAAGCGCCTTCCCAAGATCCATGTAAGCTTTTGGTTATTTTTCTTTTCTTTTCGTTTTGATCCTTTATGAATGCAAATGGCTTGTGCCCCATTGTCTAAAATAGATAAAACAAAACAATAATAATAAAAGTAGAGAAGACAAGAGAAGCTAGTAGAAAATCCATGACAACCAATCTTACACTTTATGTATCCAATAGAAACAAAGAACGGAGAAGGAAAAAAAAAACTGAAAATGCCTTTTTAAGTTGTGTAGAAGCCGATAGATGGGATTTGCTTTAGTAAATGAGAGTTTTATGGAAAACAATGCGGAAAGCGATGGCCACAATGAAACAATGCATTGAGTAACATAGCAGCTTTTTGGGCCCTCCTTCACATGGTGTCCTAGTTTAATATGTTAGCTCCAAAGCACTTTTCCCAGCTCCCAAACACCCTCTTGGCTCTATTTCTCATTGACTACTTCCAATCGTGTTATGCTGAGTTACTTTTCCCACCCTTTTATGTGGGGAGAATCAAAGAGATCAAAACATTACATTTTTTAGGGATTAAAAGAGAAACGTTAACGTTATTTTTTTTGTCATTTTTTTTATCACATTCTGTATTTATTGACATTTACTGTTTAATACGTAAATTTCACTAACATGATATATTATTATTTAAACAGAAAATAAGATAGTGGAGTCTAGTGTTTCACAATGAACGCAAAATGTGATAAAAAGAGTAACGCTAGTATTTCTCAAAACTCATGTATTCCTTTTAATTTGACACATGTTATGTCTTCCAATAATAAAAGTATCATAAAAAGTAGAAACATGTAATCTAAAATCAAAATACCCGCATAACACATTTTTATCTCATATGACATTTAAATTGATATGAAAAGGGATAAGGAGAAGATATGAATAAATAAAAACTTTTAAAGTAGATTGTATTATGTACTTTCTTATCTGATTATACTTAATAGGGACAGGGAGAAGATGATATGTATGTTATGTTTATTTATTTATTTATTTATTATTATTATTATTATTATTATTATTATTATGTTCTCTTACTACATCCTTTTAGTTAGTACTCTTAGAAGTTGTTCTTTTGGAGTATAACTTGAGTGTAATTTTTGAGTTGAATTTGAGTTATAACTTGAGTTGAAGTTGTAACTTGAATAAAGTTGAGTAAAGTTGAATAAAGTTAGAACTTAAAAGAACGTGAACTTGAATAAAGTTGAAACTTGAGTTGTCTTTTTTTGAGTTTTTTAGACAAAAGAACAATCCCTTAGTTTCTATCTTATTAATCATTTTCCCTTTTGGAAGAAACAGAAAATGAAAATGAGACTTCTAAGGAAAAAGAAATAGAGAAGTACATCTCTGAATAACTTGGTCCGTGGGGAAAGGAAGAGTAGATGGAAAAGATACTTATTTATGACCCATTATTAGGGGAAAAAAAGGGTATCTGACTTCTGAATTCAAAGCCATATTTATCTCTCTATTTTGAACATATTGCTTAGATTGATAAGTGTTATAATGCAAGTCAATGAAACTACTAACAAAAACCAAAAGGACAAAAATTACGGTTTCTTTTTGTAAGGTTTGTTCAAACCACTCCTTTCTCCGGAAGAAATGTGGTCTAAACAAAGAAAGAAATAACATAAAAAAACAAACAAACAAACATATCACCCTCAAGTTTCCTTTTCTACACCTAACCCATCATCCATTGGATTCTCCCCAATTCGACCGTTAGCTTGAATGCGAGCCAAGTAACCTCATTTGGCGGGTCCCATCTTCACATGAGTGATTTCAAACAAAACCCAATTCGTTTTGGATTAGTTAAGTTCTTCTAATTAGGATGTGATGTTAGCCTAATCCGGATGTTAATCCATCTTGGTTGTTTTTGGCCTCCCTCCACCGACTCATTAGAACTTACCTTAATCGTCCCAAAAGATCATCATTAAAGCCTTGGAAGTTAGACTTTGTATGGCTTAAAAAAATGAACCAAACTTCACCACTTTAACCACATTCTTTTCTTGCTTTTCGGTATAGGTGAAATGTCATTCTCTATTGGTGTACATATCAGGGTTTTGCTTTTCTTTCTCCTATATTTGAGAATTTGCCTACCAAAGAATGCCTTGCAAAACACGGCACCAAACCATCTTTTGTGCTTATGATTCCTCATAATCTTAGACTGCCTTACAGAAAGTTAGCATTTTACTTGGAAACTTGGCTTTTAATTTAGTAACAAAGTATTTTTAAGCTTCTTAATGAAACGGTCACCAAATACCCTTTTGCCGAAAGAAAAAAATGTGTGGGCAAATCACAAAGATTGGCATTTTGCTTAAGACCACTAAATTCATGTTCACATATTATAAGCCTAGAGCTTTTTGTCATATGATCCACTTATTAAAAGAGTTATGCTGAGATTTTTTTTTTTTCCTTTTTTTTTTTTTTTTTTTTTTTTTTTTTCTCTCTTTCTTGTCGTTATAATTGGTGCTTTCTGCATTTGTGGGCCTTTGCCCACATGCCCTCTCAGGCTCATCTTTCTTAAATCTCTCCCTCTTTTTTTTTTTTTTTTTTTTTTTTTTTTCAGATTCTTAGGCTGCTCCTTATCCAATAAAAGAAGAGCCCAACTTACATGTATTTTCTACATCAACTAGTGGCAATTCAATATGGCTCAATTCACTTATTCGAATTTAGAATTTAAGTTTTGTTACAGTAAAAAACTCTCAGAAACAGTCACATTTAATTTTTTTATTACAATAAAAAATTCTCACATCAAATTACATTTCAACTCAAATTAAAAACTCGAATCAATAAACTAAACGGACCTATGTATACATCATAAAAAAAAAAAAAAATTCGACTCTTACACTTGTGGAACAATTATCCCCATCATGTGGTCCCCTTAAAGTTCCAAAATTGCTAGCAAAGCCCCAATCGTC